GCCCGGGGTGCTGTGCAAGGAGGACCTGGACTGCTTCTACTGCTGCAGTCAGTGCGGCCAGGTGTTCTGGGAGGGCTCTCACCTGGGCCGCCTGGTCTCCCAGTTTAGGGAGGTGCTGGAGCTGCCGGAAGAGAGCTGAAGCGGCGCTTGTCCGTGGGGTCTGCGCAGGAATGGGGGGGGGGGTGAACCCCCCTCAGAGCCCCCCTCACAGCAGGAAGGCATGTTGGCAAGGCAAACTCCCCCCTCCCCCCCCTTTTCCAGAGGGCTCTTTGGAAGGATTTCCGGCTTTTTTCCCTCCGGTGCTGTTTTGGCACGGACCACCGTCCCACAGGGTGGAGACCCACTGCAGGCAAAGTTGGGCCCCCATCGCCCGCTGCCTCTGGTGTGAGGTGGATTGTTTAGCAGCATTCCAGACCCCGGGACCAAACGTTCTCTTGCAGGTTGGGGGATTACACACACACACACACACTCACACTCACACCTACCTCTGCACAGTGCAACTTGGAGCTTTTGCTGTAGAACTGTATGCTCTCTCTTCCTCTCTCTCTCTCTCTCTCTCTCTCTCTCACACACACACACACACACACACACACACAGAGGCACAAAGGAGGTCCTTCTGTTTCTCTGGAGATAAGAGGCCCATGCAAGAAATCTCTCCCTTCATCCCAGCCAGCCAGCCAGCCCTCCCGCCCCGTTTCTCCTCTGATTTTTCGCCAGGAGATTCCCACAGGGAGACCTTTTTTCGGCTGTTCTGAGGAATCTGGACCCCTTCAGCCTGGAGGGCGGCAGCCTGCTCTCTCTCTCTCTCTCTCTCTCTTTCCTCTGGGGGCTTTCTTGTCTCTTGTCCCCCCCCCCCCCCCCCCCGTAGAGCCCAGGGCCCCTCTCCTCACAGAATGAGATGCTGCCCGGCAAGGAAGATAGAACGAGGCTTTGAGCCGGGCTGCGAGAGCCCGTCAAATCCGTCTTTTTAACGCGTTCAGACGTTCAGCTGCCAGTTTTTAAGGACAATAAATGAAGGTGCTACTGAAACAAGCTGAGGTTCTCTTGCGTTACTCTTTCCATCTGCGTTTGGCTCGCCAAGCCCCACAGTTAGGAAGGGGCCGTTTCTGCTTTCGAGCAACCAGTGTTTAAAGTTACCCTTCCGCCAAGGACGATCAGCGCTGGAATGTTCTGCTTTATGCGGACTTTCTTCCCCAGGTGCCCCTCAAGGGCAGGCAACTCCCCTGCCCGAGGCCAAAGACCCACCAGGCTCCTGCTGGGGAGGTTGTGTGTGTGTGTGTGTGTGTGTTGGGGGCTGTCTGGCTGGCTCTCCTGGCACGGGAGCTCCGTAATTCCGGAAGGAAGCTTCACTTCCCTCCCTCCATCCTGTCCCCAAGGCAGGCAGCCAAAGGGCAGGAAGCGGGTTTCCGAGCATCTCGAGACAAGTTCGGTTGGTTCCAGAGGACGTCGACCTTTCCGGCCTTTGGCAAAAACCCCTCCCCAGGGAGGAAGGTGACCAGGCCTCTTGGCACAGTCCCCACCCCCACTCCCGAAGCGGCTCAGGATTCCCAGCGGATCCCTCTGCAAACTGTCCGGGCAGGCACGCCTAATAAAATGACCCTCCGAGCCAGGTTTGGAGCAGCAGCAGCAGCAGCACCGCTGGCTGCAGATGCGAGAGGCCCGGCTGGCTTTCCTGGGGCACAAAAGGAGGCCCCAAAGGCTGGGGCGGGGGGGGGGGGGCCTTTAGAGGATAAAGAATCAAAAAAAGTTTTGCATTTTATCCTTTCTGATGGGGGGGGGGCTTCTTCTCCGTCCCCCGCCCCCGCCGCCCTTTGCCCAGGCCAAATGGCTACATCGGAGGGCAGGAGGGCTGTCCAAGGATTTAAAGCCCCCAAATCGGCGTCCCTGCCGGGCTGGTCCTTCCTTGGCCCCTCTCGACTTCGCTTATGCCAGCCTACGGGCGGACGGGGGGGGGGGGGAGCCCTCCGCCGCGGGGCCCGGCTTCCTCGCCGCCGCCTCTTGCGCCCGGGGCTCCCGCGCTCCGCAGGCAGAAGCGAAAGTTGCTTTTCCCCGTCCGAGATCTCGGCGGAGATAGCGCCGGTTCTCCCCCGCCTGTTTTAATCGGCAGCGCCATCTCCCTTCCCGGAGGTGCGCGTGCGCGTGCGCGCGCGCCCGTCTCTCTCTCTCTCTCTCTCTCTCTCTCCCCCCCCCCCCCCCCCCGCCCCCCCCCCCCCCGGTCTCTGCGCGCCCAGGTACGCGTGAGGAGGCCTGGCCCCGTTTCCCGTCACGCCTGGGCAGGAATCCGGCCGGCTCGCTCCACAGCCTAAGGGCCCCAAAGCAGCCCGTCCGGGCGGCTGCACATCCAGGCGGCTGGAGCTGTTGTCTGACCACAACCGGGGAGGGTGGGGGGGGGGTGTTCAAGGCTTCCGTTTGTCCCTCCACTCCGGCCTAAGGGCCCCTCCCTCCCTGTGGCAGAAATACTCGGAATTATTGGGGGGGGGCTTTGCTGCCCGAGGATTTTTTTTGAGGGGGGGGGTCGGTGCTGCACTCCTGCCATTCCTGGTTTCTATCCCTGCGAAGTACAAGGTGGCTCTAAGCCCTCCCCACCTTCTCAGTCTCACACACACACACCCCAACCCACGCCTGAGAAAGTCACACCCCCCCCCCCCCCAAACAAACCTCGCGCCGCAGAGCCCCCCCCCCACCCCCCCGAGTATTTCTCCCACAGGGGGGGAGGGGCCCTTAGGCCGGAGTGGAGGGACAAACGGAAGCCTTGACCCCCCCCCCCCCACCCTCCCCGGTTGTGGTCAGACAACAGCTCCAGC